GTTTTCAAGGGTGTGTGACCTTTCAGAAGCAGACTGTTGCTGTTATGGGTCATTAAGTCACATAGTGACCCTATGTACAATAGCTCTGAATCCTGCTTTATCCTGAGTCAGTCTCACTGCCTCTGTTACACCTCCCAATTATCCCAGTTAGCCTTTCAATACATCTCATTCTGGGTCTTCACCTCCATTGTCCCTCCACACTTGCAAGCATATTGTCCTTCTCCAGGGATTGGCCCCTCTAGGCCCCATGCCCAAAATATGTGTGATGGACCTTCAAAATCCTTGCCTCGAAAGAGCAGCCTGATTTCACCCTCTTCAGATTAAACCGGTCTGTTCTCTTGGCAGTCCATGGTATGTTCAATGCTCTTCTCCAGCACAACTCAGAAGCACTGAATCTTCTGTTATCCTTAGCCTCTGTCCAGCTCTCTGATGCATAGCAAGCATGACTTATATCAGGTGCACCTTAGTCTCCAGACTGACAATGATGCTCGTTAGCACTTTGGAGAGGCCCTTGACAGCAGATTTCCCCAATGTAATTTGTTCTGATTTCCTGAGTTCTGGTGCTAAGAGTGTTGCTTGTGGAGCCCTAACAAGCTATAATTGTTAACAACCTCAATCTCCTCTCCATCCATCATGGTGGTGCCATTTGGCTTTGTGGTGAGAATATTTATCTTCTTGATGTTAAGCTTCAACCCATATTGAAGAACACAATCTTGGACCTTCTGTGGTAAGCACTTCAGGTCCTCAATTTTGGCAAGCAAGGTTGAGTTACTGCATAACTCAGGTTGCTGATGAGTATTCTCTAATTCTGATGCCACATTCCTCCACATAAAGCCCTGCCTCTTGAATGATCTGTCTGCATACAGATTGAAAAGAAATGGACAAAAAACACACCATGCAGTATTTTCCCTGTTCTGAGGACTTCTTCCTGGGCTAAGTATAGGTTTTGCATAAACACAATCAAATGTTCAATTTATTGTGATCCACACAAAATGAAACAAAAAGACATTCCTCTGGTACCCTTTGCTTTCTGTCAAGATCCTTCTGACATTGGTGGCAATGTCTCTAGTGCCACGACCTTTTCTAGAGGTAGAAGGAACAGTGTTTGGAAAATATGGACTTGGTGACAGAAATGACGTGGGGGATAGAAAGAATTTTGCACTATCAATGATTTACTTATTGCAAATATCTTTTATAAGAAATATAAATGCAGGCTATACACAGGATTTCAGCTGATTGTATGCACAGGAATCAGATTTCATTTGTGGAAGGAATCACTGGAGAAGTTCAATATCAGCAGTTGAGAACTAGGCCAGGTGCTGACTATGGAACTACTCATATGCAAGTAAATGAAAGCTTTTCTAAAGAAGGTCAAGTTATATCTACAGGAGGTGAAATGTGATCTTCAGTCTATCTCCTCTGAATTTAAAAATCAACTCAGGAACAGGTTTGAGGCCTTGCCCACTAATGAACAAAGACCAGATGAGCTGTAGGAAGACACCAACAATATCATCCAGGAAGAATGCAACAGGTCACAGAGGAAGAAAAAAAAAAAGGCCAAAATGGATGCCACAAGAGACTCTTGAGTACTGCACTAGAGCGCTAAGAAGCCAAAGCAAAGGGAAGAAATCAAGATAAGGAACTTAAAAGAGAAGGTTTCAAAGGGCAACTCAGGAAGATAAAGCAAGGTATTATAATGAAATGTGCAAAGAGCTGGAGTCAGAAAATCAAAAGGGCTGAACTTGCTTGGCATTTCTTAAACTGAAAGAACTAAAAAACAAATTCAAGCCATGAGCTGAAATACTTAAGGATGATTCTCTGATTACAAAGTCAATTGCTGGTATTGTTGTTATGTGCCATGAGTCGCTTGCGACTCATAGTGACCCTATGTACAATATCCCCAAACCCTGCTCTATCCTGTGCCAATTGCACTGCCTCTGACACACCCATCCCGATTACCCCAGTCACTGAATCAATCCACTTCACAGAGGGTCACACAATTTAAGATGGCAGTTCAGCAGCCAAGTACATTCTTTTATGAAGCAACTGGTTTCATTAAGTGTATAACACAAAGGAAGAAAAATATTACATGCAATAAAGAAATTGATTACAACTCTTTATTAAGTAATCTGAACTTAAAAATAGTTAACAATGGTTGAAAAGATGAGTCTGGTACTGGGAAGCAGAAATCTATAATACAGTAACAAAACAACAAAACCAAAAAATCTCTCAAATGTCATGTTGTTGTTGTGTGGTGTTGAGCTGGAACTGACTCATAGCTGACTGTTCAGTGGATTTTTAAAGGCAGTTAATCACACAGGAGGAGATTACCCATCTTTCTGCTGTAAAACAGTTCATGGATTTGAGCTGCCTACATAGGTTAAATAGCATAGTACCTTAATCCATTAGGCCACCAGAGTTACTTAAAATGCCATACAGAATCACATGCTCTTAATATGACCAAAACAAATCACTCATATATATTACTACAGATAGGATTTTAAAAGAAACATTGAACAAAAGAAGTAGATTCACTAAAATATGTATTATTCTGTTTCTATAAAATCTGTAAATACAGAATAAATAATTAAGGACCGTATTTATAAGAACAAATGACACAAAGTATAAACAGGAGATAAACACACACACACAAACACACACTAAGTTCACATTATCTCTGGTAGAGAAAATCACAGGTTTCTAAATATTGGCAATGTTCTACTAAGTAGGTAAAGAAACAGGGGTGACATCCATTTCCTAAACATGTCTCTGGAAACTCTATGAACTTTGATAAATGTTGATGGTTGCAGAGGGGCTTTAGGCCTTTTGTTCATAGGGTTGTTATGAGTCTTTCTCGACTTGAAGGCAATCAACAACAACAACAAAGTGCAAATACAAGGTTTAAAGCACATTTTGTATATGATGCTTTATAAAAAATATAAACAGGAGAAAAAAATAAATCTTTGGTTAGACAGAGAAAAAACAAACAAAAAAGAAAGTAATAAAAAAAAATAAAACCTCCCAATCCATATCTATTTTAAGGGTAAGAAAATTTAGCCTTAATATTAACTTTAAAAGGTCTTTTTCATAAAGTGTTTCTAAAACAGAATCCACATTTAACAATATCTTATACCAATGTTATTTTGCTGGTTTTTTTGGACCATTTCTCAGTAACTAAGACCATGACAAACTCAATGCAGAGAGTAAATGAAATTTATTGTGAGAGTGAACAAGATTATGTGGTTTAAGAATAAAGCCTGTAACATGTAGGGATATGAAGATTATGTTTTCTTAAAAATAATTTGCCATCCTTCCGCCGCGGCAGCCATCGACGTGCAGCAGCCATGGCAGTGCGCTACCCTATGGCCGTGGGCCTCAACAAGGGCCACAAAATCACCAAGAACGTGAGCCAGCCGAGGCAAAGCCGCCGCCGCGGGCGCCTCACCAAGCACACCAAGTTTGTGCGGGACATGATCTGGGAGGTGTGTGGCTTCGCACCCTATGAGTGACGCGCCAAGGAGCTGCTCAAGGTCTCCAAGAACAAGCAGGCACTCAAGTTCATCAAGAAAAGGGTGGGGACACACAAGAGGAAGCGAGACGAACTCAGCAATGTCCTGACCGCCATGAGGAAGGCAGCTGCCAAGAAGGACTGAATGTGCCCCACTGTCCCCCAAAGCCCATCTGATGTATTAAAGTGTAACCAACAACAACAAAAAAAATTTTGCCATAATTACCTTCTTAATTGGACTTTGGCCAAAAAAATAAATTTTACAACATATCAATATGGTGAAATATTATGTAGTATTAAAAAGCTTAATCAAGGATACTATTTGGCAACTTGAAAAAACTGTTTACAATGCAGTATTACATGTAATTTAAAAAGAAATCACATATCTTAAGTATCCTACATAAAGACTATACAACAATTAAATCAAGTATGAGGAGAAACAAGCCAAGTAAAACTGAGTAGCATGTTTGTTTTGTTTGCTGTGTACCACTGAGATATGTTGGGATGAAGTCATAGCTGACCTTCCAGCGGGTTTTCAAAGGCAGTAAATCACAAGGGAATGCCAATCTTTCTCCCGTGGAGGTGGCAGATGTGAACTACTTTGGGCCGACAGTGCAATTCTTTACCACTAGGTCACCAGAGCTCCCTATTAGCATGAAGGCAACTAAATAGGGATTAAATTGTAGCACTTTGTTGATTATACAGTAATTTTAGAAACTGCTTTTTTCGTATGCTGAGTTGTAACTGAAGGCAAGCTCATTAATTCAAAAGCTATATGACTAGAGACAGAATCATCAAGTTATACACTTCTAATTTATTATATTGTATTTATGGATAATTATGGTCGCTATGAGTCACATACAACTCGATGGAGCATAACAACAACAACAACATGGCATTTCTATTCAATCACATACTTAAGAAATTCTTGCTAAATATATATTTTAATCAATATAGTCCTGGCATTATCAAGAAAAGACTAAGTATCCTCAAAGACAGTGGAAGAAAGAATGACACTCATTAAAAATAGTATGTTCTTGTTCTGAGTTTTGTGAGGATAGTTAACTCTGAGGAAAGGGGGGGAAAAAAATTAAAAAAAAAAAAATAGTAAGTTCTTTAATAAAAATCTGGATAAACAAAGTGAAATATCACTTGTAATTAAAATAATGCAAATATACTGTAACTCCTACAACAGGGCTATGAGAACTTGGCTAGCATCTTGCTCTAGCTCTAAGGAAAGAATCTTTTTTTATAACATTTATAGCTGTGTAAAGGATGCACAGTGAAATGTGGCCTCTGTAAAATGATTACTTTTAAATGATTTATGAAAGGCAATTTCAATGTTTTAGACTAAATGTAATAAAATTATTCCAGAGAATCAAAATATAGCAATGTATCAGTAAGTCCAAAGATTAAAGAAAAATTACTACAAAGTATCAAACTTATAATTTACACAGTAACAACTGTATTTAATACTTATTCTCAGACTTACCTCTGCCCATTTAAGAATACAGGTCATGCAGAAGACATGATTACAATTTTCTGGAAAGCCAACTTCCTTCTCTAATAGGCAATTAAGACATATTGGACATCTGTCAGCTTCATTGTATAACAGAAGAGTGGTAGTATTATCTCTGTTTCCTTCGCCTGCAAGTTAAAACAGCCATATGTTTTCAAGTTCTCCCAACCAAAATTTTACACCATATTTCTAGCAGCATGAGCCCTTTACCATAAAGCAATTAAATCTTGGATAAATTATCACATAAACCTATTCCTCTTTGAGCACAATCTTCACAACATCTAACTTTTTCTTTTTAGTGCACGTAGAAGGAAGTGAGACAAATTTTAATTTCAAAATAAATAATAATCTGCAAAGTTCAAAAATTTAAAAAAAGTAATGTCTCCCTCTCGTTATCTATCGTCACTTATCTAATTCCACCCTACTCAACAAGTTACAATTACTAGTTTCTTTATGCATTTTTAGATATTTAAAAATTTACAAACACATCCTTACACCTATTCTTCTAATATTTCCTTTTACATACCAATACCAAAATGATACACACTAGTTCTGCACTTAAAAAAGACCCCAAGCCCAAACCCATCAATGGATATTTGACTTATTTCAACCTTGGGCTATTAAACACCATACTTGAGTGAGAAACTCTGTAATATTAAAAAGGGAACCTAAAAATGAAAATGCTAGGTCAATGTGTGTACACTTATAATTGGCAGTGTTTATTTTCCTAAAGGTGTGTACCAATTTTAATTCCTACCAACAATATAATAAATATCAAACTATGTTCTGCTGGCTAATAAGGAAACAAAGAAACTCCAGTATTGAACCAAAACATAAATGGGAACAAAATACAGCAAGTAAATTAAAAAAAAAAGGGTGGGGGGGAGAGGAGTTGTCTCAGTGCAAATGTCAATAGTAGTACAACAGGTACAGAGATTAAAAGCCTTAAGACCACCACACGAAGGGGAACTAATCAGAAGAGATTTCAGCATTAGGTCAAGATTCTCCAATGAAACAAAGGTGGTGCCTGAATAAGACCAAGAAAATGCAAATACAAATCATCTGGAGGAAACATATCACCAATTTAGGTCCTCAGGATATCACAAATCAATAAAAAGTAAAGTTGTAAACTCAAAACTCAAGAAAATAAGCCAGGCTGAGTAAGAATCAGTTGAAGCCAGATATTTAGATATTTAATGATTTCAAATATCTGGATTTTCAGATACTACAAAGAATGAAGCTATGGTGGCCTTGTTGTGTAACGTTGATTTGGAAACAACCCATAGCTGACCCTCCAACAGGAGGCGGTAAATCGCACAGGAGGGGAGGAGATTGCCCATCTTCCTCTCACAAACATCTAGTGGTCTAATGATAAGAAATTGCATTGCCAACCCAAAGGCATGGGGTTCAAATCCACCACATTCTCTATGATTTATAGCTTCTGAAAATGCACTGGAGAATCACCTATGAGTGGGTTTCAACACGATAACAACATAGAAAGAAAAGAGTATTTGTTAACTGAAAGATTTTTGAGAAACAAACTCACAGGGTAGAAAAGAAAAAGAAGATGAGAAATGAAGTCTGAATAAAGTCCAATATGCTAAAGTTCAGAAAAATAAAGGAGATAATACTTAAAAATGCAATAGCTAGGAAATCATAAAAATATGAACCAACAGATAAAAGAAACAACGTATGTTACACTAAAGAAATAAAAGTAACCCACGACTGGTAATAATGTGGCAAACTAAAAATCAAAATCTTAAAAGCAGAAAGAAGGAAAATGGACTGAGAAGAAATTTCCTGACAGCAAAAATACCAGAAAAAGGTTTTAATTATCTTTTAAGGACTAAGAAAAGCCATATATCCAGAATTATATAAACATCAAATTGACTTTGGAAATTTAGAGAAAATTTTTAAAAAGACAAAATTAACAGTTTACCAATAGACCTTCAATAAACCTCATTCTACATGCTGGGGGAGGGGGCAGTGTAGGAGTCGGGAAACAATTCCAGAAAGAATGGAGGAAGTGTTAGAAGGTACTGCCAACAATGAAATTCAAACAAAGAACATCTGAATTTAAAAAAAAAAAAAAGTAATCAGTGGTGTTAAGATTTAGAAAAAAAATTACCAAAGCAATAGGAAATTGTAACCTATAAACAAGCCATTATTATTAGGATGATAAAAATTAAAGTATTCAAAGTTCTTCCAAAGTCTTTTGATGGCACAATGGCCAAACATGCTGCTATAAATTAAAAGGTTGAGTTCAAACCTACCAATGGCTTGGTAAAAAGACCCAGCAATATGCTCCTATAAAGGTTACAGCTTAGGAAACTCTATAGAGAAGTTCAACTTTGTCCTATAGTGTCATTATTTACTGCAAAGATCAAGATATTAATTTTAGATATTAAGTAACAGAAGAAAATGTCAGTGACAACTATACAAAGTAAGACAACTATACAAAGTATTTTGCGTAGATCATAACAAATTATGGCTATCACAGAGAAGAATGGGAATTCTAGAACACTTAACTGTGTTCGTGCAAGACTTAAACCTCGATCAAGAGGCTGTCATGCAACAGAGTAAGGGAATGCTGCATTGTTTAAAATCAAGAAAAGGTATGTGTCAAGGCTGTATCTTTTCTCCATACTCAATTCCATCTGTATGCTGAATAAATCAACTGAGAAGCTGGACTTTGTGAAAACAGTGGCATTGGGACTGGAGGGAGATTCATCAATAGCCTGCATTACACAAATGACACAACCCTGCTTGCTGACAGTGAGGAAGACCTGAAATGTTTGCTGCAGAACATCAAGGACTAGAGCCTTCAGTCTTCAATATGAATTATACCTCAACATCAAGAAAAAAAGGGTCCTCACCATCAGACTAATAGACAACATCATGTCATATGGAGAAGAGACTGAAGTTGTTAACAATATTATTTTGCTTGGATAAAAAAAATCAACAAGTATGGTACTAGCAGTAAACAAATCAAAAGACGAATTGCATTTGGAAAATTTTCAGCCAGGGAACGCTCCAGAGTACTGAAGAGTAATGATGTCAGTTTAAAGACCAAGGTGCACCTGCTTCAAACCATGATCTTAACTTCTTGCTATACGCCTGAAAGCTGGAAAATGGACTGACAGGCCCCAGCTC